ACCTTAACTATAACTACATTTTAATTTATTTATATCTTATAAAAGCTGAGGGTAAAATAAAAATAAAAGTAATAAAATAGAAAATAAGGAAATGAGTGCTAATTAACAAAATCAGAGAGAAAGAGAGAGAGAAAGAGAAAGAGTCTGATTTCATACTGTTGACATCCAGAAATGTAAGAAAGCAAGAATAGGTTATCATTTTCAAAATCTGTGTTGTTTTAAGCCACTAAATTTGTGGTAGCGTGTTCAAGTAGCAATTGGAGTCAAACTGTATTTTAAAAACTTAAGAACCAATGTCTAGGATATTTGAATCATCAATACTTGTTTTTCTACTTATTTTATAAAATAAAATACCCAAGTCACTTGCAAGTATTCACTTCTAATGAACTGATATTTTAATTTAACGTATAACAAAATTAGAGTCAGAGCTTCATTCTACCTTCTAAGTAGACATTGTTCAAATGCTATTCCTTAAAAATACTAACTTTAGATTCATTCTTGCCAGAGATCTAGATGTAAAGAAAAGAGTCCTGACCCATACCTGTATAGGCCTTACATTCTAGTAGAAAAAACAAATAATGAGCAAAGAAGGATATGGATTAAATATTGAGTTTGCTTGAAGTTCTGAAAAAGAAAATAAATAATACAATGTTAAAGATGCCCTGGGTCTTTAGCCAATTTAGACAGAGTGTTGAAGAGGTGACACTCACTTGAGATTGTAGAATAAGTGATGGAGCCCTCCCTCTAGCACCAGTGTCTGTTCATTTCAAGAGCTGTCAAAAGGCTGCTGAGTTGAAGCATAAAACATGTAAGTAGAGCTGAGAACAAATAAAAAATAGGGTAAAAGAGAAAGAGCTAGGAGGGGTCAGGAACTGTAGGTCATAGTGGTTCTGGTAGTTTTACCCATTATTGATAAAAGATTTCAGAGTAGAGGCATGGTATGATTTACAATTTGAATGTTCACTCCTGATCAACCTATGGCTTATGAACTGACTGGGGCCGGACTGAAGCAGAGACCAAGGTGGTGTTTTCTTCAGGGAACCACAGAAGACATGGTGATAGTCTAGACCATTTTCTATGGCAAAAGACAGAACAATGGGTTTTGAGGTTCCTTTCAACTCTTTGTTAAGGATTGAATGCAGAAGTGGAGCAGTGAGTAACAGAGAAGGGAGGAGATCTCCAACATCTTCCTAGTTTATGAAGAAGGATACTGAATAGTGCCCTTTTCCAGAACAGGAAAGACAAAAAAAGGAACCAAGTTTAAAGAGACTTTCTAAGGACAACTAAGAGAATGACTCGCTTTAATTATTTTCATTTAAAAATTATGATTTGTCTATAATCCTAGATATAAATGAAGCAGGAATATGCCATCAGTAAATGCAGTTTCAGGGTATCCTCTTTTTAACAACTCACTGATTTTCCTCATTAATATATTTTAATAGAATAAATCTGGTTCTCTCTTTATTCATCCAGATTTTTCCCATTAATTTGTAAGCAGTTAAAAAAAATAAGGAACTGTTTTAAATGCAGGAAAAGAAAAGAAAAAAAGAGTTGGAAACTTAGCCTATGAATGAGAATTAAAGATGTATATTTACTTGTTGAGCTTCAGTACCAGTGAATTTTACTTCTGTCTCTCCTGTAGCTAATTTTTAGTTACAATCTCTGCAACTGACCACATCACACACATTAATCATTAAAATTATTAATGATGGATAGGTAATTATCAGACAGCTTGGAAAGAAAAGCAGCTTTGCTATTCCAATCTTTCTAACATTTGACTAATTATCTTCTGAAAGATAGTGAGCATTTCTGATGACTCTTTATTTTTACTCTGCCAATAACCAAACTATACTTGTCCCTGAAACTTTTTGATTGGATAGTTTCTATGTGGCCACATGAGTATTCTGTTTTTCCCTAGCAAATGATTACAATTTCAAAATATAAATCATTATTGCATTTTCCTGGCAAAATGCATGAGTACAGCAAAATATTTAATAATTTATATGGTCTATAGTTTGTCCTGATGTAAGACAATTTTCTTTTAGCTGTAAAGAGCAAAAAGACAAATTCAAACCCACTAAACCCTACTTATAGGTAGTGTATTTTAGATACTTAATGACATTTTAGGCCAAGAAATATAGGCTGTCCTCAAAAGATTTAGGTGACATAGACTGGCAAGCCTCAGGAATTGGGATATATCTCCATCAATCTCTATTTTTTTCTTTTCCTCTGACTAGACCCTCTCTCTTCTATCACTGTGCACAAGTGAGAATATTGTTTATCACTCTCATGTGTTTTTCTCCTTTGCCCTTCTCTTTGGGCACCTACCATGGTCTTTTTTCTCTCCACTCACCAGCTTTCATCATTTGCCACACCTATAGCCAAATACCTATTAGCTTCTGCTTCTGAGTTACTTGTGTTCAGTTCAAATTGACCATGTAAGCAACCATACCAATTTTTTGTTTCTGGGCAAAAGAATCTATGGTCTCAGTAGAGTCAGTACTGACACCAAGATGGCTTCAGTAAAGAGCAAGAGTGTTCTCACTTAGTAAAACATATATGGAACTCATGTTATATAAACATGCATTTTTCACTAAGTTTGCTCCAAATTATGCAGTACACTGCAACACTGAGAAACTCATATCTTTATATAATAAGATGCAAAAAGGTATAATTTTATAGGTTTTATCCAGTGTTTTAATAACAGTAAGCTATTATATTCATCATAATAGCTTCTTGGAACAGACCCTATTCCAACTGCACCCCTCCCCTCTCCATCCCCTAAACAGTATACACACACTTTGGAGTCTTAAACTCTGTGAAGTATTATTTTCATTCCTGTTGTACAGGAAAATGAGGTTAAGAGTGAGGGAGTAGGCTGTTCAAATTAATAGCCAGGAAATATGTAGCATATCTAGGATTAGAGCCCAGGTATCCTGTGTGGTTAACAATTGTCCTGAATTCAGTGTTTTGTCCATGACAGCCTATCTGATGATATTTAAATGAACTTGACAAGAACTGAACTATTTCCTTTTGTAAGAAAATCATCATTTGAAATTTTCTCCTGAAAAACTTTTTTCCATTGAAACTATGTTGTATTTATTAGCTCTTGGCTTTACTCTTCCTATAGTCATGCTTTTTCTCAGTGATATTTACTGAATCTTACAAATATCCTGAGTATCAATAATTAATGTACCATGCACGTTTTTTCTTCATCTTTTCAAAAATCATGATGTAAAAAAATGAATCTTGTAGTAATTTTTGATTAGCCCCCCAGACATGTGGCAACACTTTATTTTTTCTTTCACAGTCCTATGCTTAGCATATCTTACAGTTCAAAGTCAATTTAGATAAATTTTCTACTGAGGATTGAATAGTATTCTTAAGTCATTTTTAGCTTTTTCCATTTCAACTCACTTATATGAAAGAAAACTGGTGTTTGCTGCAAAGCTATTTTAAACTCATAGGCTGATAGTTGTAAATGAAAAACTGAAGGTACTTGATGGGAGTCAGATACGTGACTCAGATATGTGACTGTATCCTTTAAGAAAGTGTCAAGACTTACTGCCTTTCTTACAGATATTGCCAATTAACTCAAAAGATTTCCCATGATTTGATTCCTGATTAATCAGAAATAAAACAACTCCTGATGATTTAAAAAATAAACTGATGACACTGATGCTTGCTTGCTTCTGTCTCAGAAAAAAATGGTATTTATTTTTCTGACTTTATAAGCTAAAACAAACAAAAAACGTACATTAAGAAGTCTCTGAGTTTTCATCCTGCTCACATTATATAGCTCTTACATAATTAGGCTTTGTAATGCAATCCCTTGGCTTCATCCACCCAAAAGTTATATTTCATTTTTATCTTAGAAGGTTGGGTGCCATTTTGGCATATAAATCAAATTTTCTGCACCACAAAGAACTTATTTTCAAATGGGTTAATACTTTCGCTTTTTGAGACAGGTTTTAAGCTTTGAAATGGTAATTTGCTTTAAAATTTAAAAAGAATAAACCCTTCTAAAAAACTTTTTATGCATTTGGACACATCCTGTTGTCAGTCACTACTACACTTAGTCTCACCTTGCTCCTCCAGCTCTGTAGGGAGGTTGTGAGGCTACCCTCAGCATCATCTCTAGCTCTGTGTGTGTGTGTGTGGTCATTTGAAAAAGGAGCCACTTTTTCACACCTGTGAAGACAACTCAATGAATTGGAAACCATCCCTGGCAATTGTGGGTTCCTGTGGCCATATGCTGGGGAATCCAGAGTCACTGGGTCACTACTGGACAACTGAGAGCTCTAAGGTTCATTTGTAAATACATGTTGACTGACTGACATGAGTAGTGTCTGCCTTGTACTTGTGAAAACCTGTCAAAAAGACAGGGTTTCTACTGTCCCAGAATTCACCTCCACTGTTTCCCCATCGCATCTTCCGGGAAGCAAGTTCACGTCTGTGAGCAATCAGCATCACTAATTACACGATAAAAAAAAAATCCATCTACAGCCAGGAAGTGGCGATGCACACCTCCAATCTAGCAGTGCTCGGGAGACAGGCAGGAGGATGTGGGGTCTAGGCTGGGCTACCTAGTGAGTTCAAGGACAGCGTAAGCTATGGAGCAAGATGCTGTCTTAATAAAAAAAGAATCCATCTGCAGATATAATGAGGGCATTGCTCCCTCCAAGAGAAACTTGCAAGGCTTCATTTTGTTGGCGGTTCATCTGAGCTGTCTCTAGTTTACCAAGAATAAGCACTTGTTAGTATAGCAAGGCGTGACATCCCAAAGCTACATATACAACCCAGAGCTCGAGTGCTGGCTCTGCGAATGCAGGGTGACATCCAAGGTGGTGGAGCCACTGCCAGGACGGGTTGGGCGTGTCTGTTATTAAGGCCCTCAGCCAGGATTGGGGGAGGAGTCTCTAGGACCCCGGATAAGGGACACACAGGCTCAGTCACTACCCCGTCCTAACCCGGACCCAGGACTCGCACCCTCCCTGCAGGCCCGGAGGTGGAGCCGCGGCAGCCGCAGCCACAGCGATGCCCGGCGGGGCCTGGGCGCTGGCGACCGCGCTGATGCTGCTGGCCCCGGCCGGGGGGCGGCCAGGTAGGTGGCGGCGGACGGGACCAACGTCTCGGATGCCCGCGGGGCTCCTGGCATCCTCACCGCTGCACCTGAGCTTGGTCCCCAGCCCTTGGGTCTGTCGGACGCGGTCTCGGGGAGGCGGTCACTTCACAGCCCGGTGCCCCTCGGGTTTTTTGTTTTGTTTTGTTTTTTTAAGGCACAGGCGGCTGTTGCTTGCTCTTCTCTGAGTCCCTTGGGCCTGTTTTCTGTTTCCTGCTGATGAATTTTTAAGTTCCTCTCATTTGCTCTGAGAACTTTTCGCTGAACCTGCCAGAAATCTTAGAGGCTGGTGATCTGAATAACCAGAAGTTCAGGTTCAAACCGCTGGATCTCCGCACCCACCCCCAGCCCGGAAATAGTTAATTGGTGAACATTGTATTCCGACAGTACGTCACGAAGTTAACTTTTGTGCATGGTATTTTCCATATTTATGTGTTTAAGTCAGTGTTCCTTTGTAAAAAAGATCTTAGTGGAAAGAAATATCCCCTCCCAATTCTTTAATCTCCGACATAGAAAACAGTTTAAATATATTAACTAACCCTTCAGAATTGTTTTGTGTGTGTGTGTGTGTGTGTGTGTTTGCACAGATAGGAATATTAAATGGAAGGTACCTTGTTCTTACATTGCACGTTTATTAATATTTTTGAGAATAAACCTGATGTATGTACAGCTATTTTCAAACAATAGTCATGTGTAACGTTTGTAACTATTTAGGGTATAATCATGTTTTTTCATCTTGTTGATCTTCATCAGTTTCATTAATCCAAGTTTGCTCTGAAAAAAAAGGGCAGGACAAGCATTCTCCCATGTAAAATTTTAAAAGAATATTTAAATCCAATTTGTTCCCTGAAATGATACACCTTAACAAGGTATCACTGGTCTGTGCCTTCTTTGGTTTGCTTACTGATTTACTAGGTCTTCTTGAAATTTTTTTCTTAAGTTGGCAAATAATAATTGTGCACATTTACAGGTTGCAGCGTGATAATTTGATATATCTATGCAGCACACAGTGATCAAAGCAGACAGTATTTCTGTCTCCTTACACATTTATCAAATTTGTGTTGAGAACCTCTGAATTCCTCCTACTTGTCCTTTGTAAAATGCATAATAAATTGCAGTGAACTTTAATTACCCTACTTAGCTGTGGAGTCTTCATACTTATTCCTCCTATGTAGTTATATTTTGGTACCCATTATTCAACTAACCTTGATCTCTCTTCCTCCTTACCTTTCCTGCCTCCTAGGACCATAATTGTAAAGAGTTTTTAAAACTCATGTGTAGTAAGAACATATTAAATATGTATTCGTTATAATTAGATTAAGTGTTTCCAGAAAAAAGCTTCTGTGTCTACCATAGTTCACATAATTCTTGTTCCCTCTTTTTAATAGCTTTGTAATCTCTCTATGAAAGACAAATATTATCTTTCACAAGTTTTCAAGCGTATATCATAATAATGTTAATAATTAGTTTACATTTCGTAGAGTAGAAATACAAGAGGTGAATGGAAAATATGTTTGCTGATTTTTTTGTACAGTTTTCTTAAGATAGCTCATGGACCATATAGAGCACCCAAAGTGTGTAATTGTATGGCTTTTAGTGTATTCACAGATCTGTGCAATCATTACTATAATCAACTTTGGAACATTTTTATCAATTCAAAAAGAAAAATTGCACCTTGAGATATTAATCCCCTATATCCTTCATCACACTCCCTTCTCCCCAGCCACAAAACAATTACTATTCTGCGTTTTATCTCTATTGATTTGCCTGGTCTGTGTATTTTACCAGAATGGAATCATATATCAGGTGGCTTCTTTTACATAGCATAATGTTTTCAAGGTCCTTCCATACTGTAGTATGTCTCAACTCTTATTTATTTGTATGAGTTTTTGATGATTTTTGGATTCAATTCTCTTTTCGGATTTGTGATTTTCAATTTTTTCCTCCCATTCTGAGCTGTGGTTCATGTCTATAATACCATCTACTTAGGAGACAGCAATTAGGAGAATGGTGATTTGAGACCAGCCCCATCAGAAAGTTAGCAAGTCCCCATCTCGAACAACAAACTGGGCATGGTAGCATGTGCTATCATCCCCGCTACACAAGAGGCATAAATAGGACAGTCACAGTCTAGGCCAACCTGACACAAACAGGAGGCCCTATTTGAAAAATAACCAAAGCAAAAATGGCTGGAGGCATGGCTTAAGTGGTAGGGATGCCTGCCTAACAAGTACAAAGCCCCAAATTCAAACCCTAGTACTGCCAAAAATTTAAATGTTCTTAGTTTCTAATCAGGTGAAATGTTCTTATATTAAAGGATATTAGAGAGACACCTCTTGGTAACTCCCCCAACTCTGAGAGCTCTGTTCTTCCACTTTACCCTTTTCTATCTCAATAAAGTTTCCTGTTTTACACTTTAAAAAAGGATATCAGAGTTATTTTAAGATTAAATGAAACAATAGCACATTCTTCACTGCTATTACACACATTTTATAAATATTTATTTGACATTTACAGATTGCAATTGTCAAAGTCATTAGAGCTTTGGATTAAATTCTTCTTGGAACATTTACGACTATGGAAGAGACAAAGAAGAGACTTTGTGGTGATTCCGAAAATCTTTTAATTAAAAATTAATTCTTTAAGGAGGTCATTTAACTTACAAAATAATAATTTTGAATAATTTAATTGTCTTATCTACAAGCAACAAAATAAAAAGCAAAAAATAATAATGACTCAAATTTTATCAACCATGTTTGTGAGATCCATTTGTAAATTAGTATCTCTATTTTATGCCTATTAATTTAAATTGAGAAATTGATTTGAGTTTATAAATACGATCTACTGTGTCAACAGAATATTCTAGTATTCTAATAAGGAAGGTTCCTTGTGAGGTTATTAGTTGAGTTAATTGGACATGCAGGAGCCACAAAAGCTGCATTTAGGACAGTTTTGCATCCTTCTCTTCTCTTCTCCTCTGCTTCTATGGAAAGATAGTATTTCACAAAAATAGTATCTTTCAAACCAAAGACTGCTCATAAAATAGGTTCACTAAAAGAACCTCACAATTTTTCCATTCTCATGTTTTTTCTTTTTCTTACTCAAATATGCTTCCCTCTACCTGTTCTTTTTCCTGTGTGAACTTTCAATATTCAGAAAGAAAGAAGGAAAGAAGGAAGGAAGGAAGGAAGGAAGGAAGGAAGGAAGGAAGGAAGGAAGGAAGGAAGGAAGGAAGGAAGGAAGGGAGGGAGGAAGAAAGGAAAGGAGGGAGGGAAGGAGGGAAGTGAACTTTTAACAACTTCATATGCTTTCTTGCACTAAAGAATGCAGAAAACCTCAGTTTGTGTGCACTTTACAAATCACAAAAATAGGTTGACATGAAAAGATTCATTCACTTCATTGCATTCCAGAATCTGACAGAGGTAGGACTTTGGTGATAACTTTGGGGAAAAACTGCTTGAAGTGAGTCAATAATGACATTGAAATCTAGAAGCCCAAGCCCAAGAGGAATGCTGGTAGAGCAGAATAAACAAATCCTTTGCTTTGTTCAAATTAAATGATAATCAAGGTCTTAACAGTGAAGTAATTAAAAGTACATCTTAAAGAGTTCTGTCCAGTTGTTTATTGTGCTTATGGAAAATACCAACAAAGTCATCTTTGACTTACTTCAAGACTGATATTTTGGAAGGTTTTTATGTGCAATAGTAGTTTATTTGTTTATTTTTGTTTTGGGAATCAAGTCTAATTGAGAACTGTGATATATTAATGCATAAAATGCATTACATGAAGACGCTCTTCTTCCTGTCTAGCTCAGGAGTGCTCTCCTGGTGGCCACCAGTTTCTACGGAGTCCTTATAGAAGTGTCCATTTTGACTCAAGGCACCTCCAGCAGTCGGCTGCTCAAGACCTGATATGTGACCATTCCCTGTCCCCTGGATGGTACCGATTTGTCATCTTTGACAGACCTGCTGAGATGCCAACCCAATGTGTTGAGGTATTCAGTCCACTAAGAACAATATATGGTTCTGCTTATGTGCTTTTCCATGGGATGATTGAAACTTTTTACAAAAGCTTCATATTTCACATGTTGAAATATTATCTTAATTTTATGGTAGTTTGAGTTAATTCAAAGGAGTATGTCAAATGGTGATAGCAATGGTAGTAATGTTAAGCTCACTGCAGTCCACAGTGTTTTCACCCACAGTACTGTCTACTATTTTCATAGCTTCAGGATACAACCTATTGGTAATCATTTGCATCAAATAGTGCAGGACACATATATAAGGCATAATCTTCCTATAGTCATCCTGCTAGCAGGTTGAGGAGCCAAGTTTTGAAGGTAAGCAATCATAGGTATGTACTTAATGGCAAGTAACCAGCAAAGAGTACATGCTGTGGTTTTTTTTTTTTTTAATACATTTTCTTCCAAAATGCCTCAGAGAATAAGCAAAAGGAAAAGAAATGCAAAGCGTAGTGTCTTGGGTATTCCTTAACTAGCATTCATTCCTTATCAAAGTCCTCTTGAATTTCTATTGAGAATTCTAATAATGTGAGTCATGATTTTCCACTAAAAGTTCCCCCCAGTTCACCAACAGTCCCCATGTGGCTGCTGATAACTGTAATGACACAGATGCCATCCCCACTTATGACTAGTTAGCTTTTCAGTTCATTTTCAGTTGTTTCTGATACATTTCTATCCTATGGTCTAAGGAATAAGACTCTCTAACTCTCTTAAGTGACAAAGTCTATTGCCCCAGAATCCTCAATTATAGGATCAAAATAGTGAGGCAGTGTTTGAACCTGACATTTATTTTGCAACTCACACATCCCCTGCACTGGTGGACATTATCACCTATGTAACCTCTGTAACCTCAGTAGATCTCTCAGTGATGTTTTGAGGTAACTAGAAAGAGGTGCAACCAGATGGTGTGTTTGAATCACATAACAAGTCATGCCTGGCAGGAGCAGTACAATATGCAGTGTCTTCCATAGCATGGACCCTCTTCCCTTATCACAAACTTCCATCTATCTCTGATCACTGTTGTCCCAGGGCAATCCAGGCATAAGTAGGTGTTCAGTTGTGATACACAGCTAAAACAGGCACTGCCAAAATGATCACTGCATACATTACTGTACTCTGCCTAAGCGGCATTGGGTGTGATTTCATTCTTAAAGGTAATTTGTAATCTAGAGGACATGTAGTTACTATTTAACATTTGGAGTGACAGCACATCATTCAGGATCATGTTTTAGCAGAAGATTTGTTTATCTTATCATCAACCACACTTTATGAATTAGGCGGAAGCAGGAATTATTTTCCTTTTTAAGTACTAATGTAAAAAGGCCTCAGAAAAGACATTCAAATTTTAACAATATTTCATTTTAACTTAGGGCATCATAGTTAAGTCTTTTTTCTTCTTTGTTTATTGGCTAACTTGTCACTTTTTGTGACATTCTGTTTGCAAGGAAGTAAAAAAAAAATCAAAATTTGAGAGTGAAGTTTAAGGAAGAAAATTGGAGGAAATTCATGACATTCTTAAATATTTGTGTTTTTTTCCTTTGGCTAAATTAGTGAAAATTGATTCTAAACCTTGCACAACGGTAAAGGTGAAATGATTTGCCTGGCTCTTTCCCTGGAGATCAGCTAACATGGGGTTATGCTGTGCCCTGGAAAGGGTTTCTAGTCTGCACCTTGTCATTCCCTTCTTAACTAAAGGTTTAGAGCATTTGAGTGGAAAATCAATAGAATTTTTTTGCTTGCAAGACAGTGCAAGTCTGCTTAAATGATTTTCTATCTGTAATGTTGTACATATGCATTATAGAAAACCTGAATAATAAAGAAAAGGCAGGAATGGAACAATATTTATTTGTAATCCATCTCTACAGTTGTAACTATTGCTAAAATTTTACTGCTGTTTTCTCTTGCATCATTTTATAACATGATTTTATTCAATCAATTTTAGCGTAAGCATGTTCCTATATCATAAATTCTTTCATATTAGTTTTGAAAAGATACTCTATAATAATTACATGCAATATTTATTTAAGCCATTGTCATATGTGCACGTTCAGAATTTTGTCATAAAAAAGTAATTTTGAAGTTAGCAAATGTGCGTATAATCATTGTTATAATTTCAGAGTGTTTAATAAGGTTGATTTTTATAAGTAAAATTAGTGAAGGCTAATTTTTTGAGGTTTTTGATATACTTAGCTATTTAAAACATAATGTTGTTTTTTGAATTCGCATAGCAGTAGATAAAAATGTCTTTTTCCATACTGAATATTCAAGTGTATTTATTAGACATCTTCATTTGGGAATTATGTATTGATGGTCTCAGTGTTTTTAAATGGATAATATAACATGATTAACATAAAGTAAGAACTATAACAGTACAACCAGACAATAAATAACAGCATAGTAAATAATGCTATTTACAAATAATTTTCTGTGTATTAAACTTATTTAAACATTTCTGTCAATATTTCCTTTATGATTTTTCCTTTGGTTTTAAGCACAGAAATAACATGATTAAGGATTATATATTTTAATAGACTCCAAATGAGGTTTTAATTCTGTTTTTTTAAAATTTCTTCTTTTGTTTAACTTATTATCTTTTATTACTTATTTCTTTACATTTTTATTAGCACATATCATAATATGAGTTGTACAGGGTGGTTTTATTGTAACATTTACATATGTCTTACATATATCTTGATTAGAGTGCTCCATCACAAGATTTTACACAATCATTTCCTTATTTCCTGGTTTTTGTTACATCTTGAACTCTGAATTAATTTCTTACATGTACTATTTCCAAGATGAGTTTGTCTTTACAGCATATATTAAGATGCTTTCAGATTAGCTCATCTTGTTTTAGAGTATATCAGCTATCTTAGTAAGTTATTAAAAATGTACTTTCTCTTGTTTACAATACAAATATAACAACTAGTATAAAAGAACTTACCCTAAGACTATGTTAATTATGATGTATCTACCTTTAAATTAAGTATTTCTCATATAGTACAAGTTACTAGATATTTTAAATGATTGATAATTTAATATTTTAAGTATTGCTTAAAAGAAAATGCAAAGTTGATTTATCTGTATGAAAATAAATTGAGATTTAACTTTTGTCTTCTTTGATCCAAAAGATGAACCACTGTGGAACTCAGGCCCCAGTCTGGCTATCTCTGAGAGATTCAGAAACACTGCCTCCTCCTGGAGAGATGAAGCAACTGACAGCCTGTGTCACATGGCAGTTTTTGTTTAGCACTAAGAAAGATTGCTGCCTCTTTCAAATCCCAGTGGCAGTAAGCAACTGTGGGGAATTTTTTGTGTACTTACTACAACCCACCCAAGGATGTATGGGCTACTGTGCAGAAGGTAAGAAAACATCGTACCACAGTTATGGAACTGTGGGAAGGTACATTTGCACAAACCTAGATAGATTGTTTTAAGCTAATGCAAATCTCAGTAAGAGACATAGGCTAGCATCATTGCTAAATTTATGCTAAATTTCTGGTTTAAGTTGTCCAGGTTTGTTTAAAATTCTTTGCCAAGGTCTTAAGGTGCTCAAAGACACATTCTGATTTGAAAGTATCAAAGCAGACTTCTTGCCATTTTCTCACTGCACATAATCATGTGTTAAAAATTCTTTGGTTTCCTCTTGGCCTTTTCTCTCTTTAATTAAGGGATGAAAGATGATGAGTGAAAGTTACAAAAATCTGGATTGTATGCTATTTTATTTTTCATTCACCAATGTTTGTTGAGTGTTTATCCAGTGCCAGGAATTAGCATAATGAACAAGATAAATGAGATCTCTTCCTTCATAGAACTTACGTTCTAGTGGAATGCTTCTAATGACGTATAAAAAATGGAATGTAACTCTCAAAGAATAAAAAAAAAATGTTCCTGAGTCCTTCTCTATAAATACATGATTAGAGAAGTAGTAAATAATAAATAGAGGAAAGAAGACAAAGCTTCCTTAAAGAAGAATTTCAGTAGCTTCTATGCTACTAGATGCTAGAGCTTAATCCCTCTCATTTTGATTTTGGGCTTGACTTAATGACTTGCTTGCATGTAATAGGAATAGGAAGGAAGAAAACACTGGTTTTACAGTGGAGACATCTGGCAGACCCTGCACTGGTTAACTTAGCATCACTAGTGATGAAGCATATGGATGTCATGCATCCCTGATAGCATCAGTAAGAAGAACACCACTCTTTTGTGTTAGGATTCCCCAAAAGCCAGTAAGCTAGTCTAATCATGAGAAAAGTCACATAAACACAAATTAAGGAACATTCTGAGCAGTATATTTTAAAAGTGTCAAAATGGTGAAAAAAAGAGGAACTAATGAAAAGTGCCATAGATTGGAGGAAAACATGATGAATAATAGTACAGTGTGATGTCCCAAAATAGATGATGGAACAGAAAAGGACATTATTGGAAAACTAATCCTCAATTTATTTAATAGCATAATCCTAGCTGGGAGCAAGAACACATTTCTGTAATTCTAACTACTCTGAAGGCGGAGACAGGAGGCAGGAGGAAAGACCCTATCTCTAAAAACAAAATGTAAACCAAAGGGTTGTGGGCGTACATAGTGGTAAAGTACTAGCCCAGAAGAATGTGTGAGTGAGGCCCTGGGTTCATTCCTTGGTACCATGACAAAAATATAATCCTAAAATCTATTTCATAGTTTCAACAAATGTGTCATGGTTGCAGAGAATGCATAAGGTATATATGGAAAAGCTCTGAATTATTTTTCAAACATTTTTGTGCTTCTAAAATTATTTTAAACTAAAATGTTTATAATAAAGCAAAAATAAAATTATTTTGGAAATCCTGTGTTATAAATTAAACTGGTCAAAGAAACAAGGAAGAAACAGCACTGTGGGGTCTGCAGCTCATGGGAAAGACTAAGATTGCGTTATAACCACAATATAAAATCTCATGAGATATTCAAACAATGAATAAAATGATCCAAGGATTGTTCACGGGGTATTATTCTTTCAGAAAGATGCCTATAAAGTGTTGAATTAATTAAATAGAGAAATTCTAAATGACTATGCATTTAAAAACCAAGCAAAGTTAATAGATTTGCAAGGAGAAATAGACAAATCTGTGATTAATATTGGAGATCAACATCCATCTGTAAATAACTGAGCTTATAATAATAAAAACAAAAAATAAAGGAGAGTAGAGCAACTCTATCAACCAACTTAATCTACATGACATTCACAGAAAACTCCACGCAAGGACAGCAGAACAAACACACTTTACATGTACATGTGCAGCATTCACCATGATAAACTACATTCTGAGCCCTAAATTAATGAAACTAGAATATTAGAAAAATTGAAGCTCATTAAATTAAAACTCACACACTCCCTAAACATCTACATTGAAAAAAGCCCCACATTAAATACTTCAGTTTATACATTTAGAGGCTAAAAGCAAAAATCACAAATGAGACTCAGAGGAAGGGGATAAAAGGAAATGATCAGAATAGAAAACAATGCAGTATAATATAGTAAACAACAGGGAAACTTCAATAAAAACAAAAGCTAATTCTTTGAGAAATTCAATAAAATTAATGTCTTCAGATCAATAAAAAAATATTTAAGCTGGCTAGTGTAGTTTGCAGTAGAGCACATACTCAATGTACAAAAAGCCCTACACCACACACACAATATCAGGAATAAGACAGTGATGCAACTATCGAGTTTACAGATATGCAAGCACTAACAAAAGGAATCATTATGAACACCTCTACACTAAGACTGTGATAAATTAGGTGAACTCGACGAATTTCTTACAATATGCACACAACCAAAGATCACTCAAAAATAAACACATAATCTCAATGGCTTTCTATCTATTAAATCAATTGTATCTCTAGTTAAAATTCACCCCAGAAAGAAAATCCCAGGTCCAGATGGTTTTAATTTGGAATTTTCCAAACATTTAAGGATGAAATAATACCAATTTTGCACAAATTCTGGGGAAATGAAATGAAGGGAATACTTCTAACCTTCTACAACCAAACATAGAAATACAAGAAAAGAATACAATCAGGAATGTTAGTGTAGATGGCATGAACATTTATTTTTTTAAAAATCCAATGGAATCTACAAAATAGCTATTGGAGCTCGTAAGTGAGTTTAACACTGTTAGTGAAAAAAAGGATTAATATGTGAAAATCATTTTGTATTCTTATACTAACAATAAACAGCCAGAAATTTCATCTAAAATACTAGTTATAGAACCAAAATTGAAACACCTGGTAATAAATATGATAAGACATATACAGTGAAAACTATTAAACATTGCTGAGAAAAAAATTTTAAATCCTAAATTGATGTAGAGATAAATCATATCCACGGGTCAAAAAACTCAAGGTTAAAGTATCAATGCTCCTCAAATTTATCTGTAGTTCCAACATAGTTTTGGTCAATACTGTAACAAGTTTCTTGTGGAAATAAACAAACTCATTCTAAAATTCGCATGGTGACACAAAGTACCACTAATATCCAAAACCACTTTGACAGTAGAAAAATTTTGCCAAGTTACACTGGCTGGCTTTAAACTTTTTATAAAGTTAAGACTACATAGACAAGTATGGTACTTGTACCAAGAAATATAAATCAATGAAAAAGAATAGACTCCCAAAACAAACAAGCACACATAAACTGATTTTCAAAACAGGGACACAGCCAAATCTATAGAAAAATGATTATATTTTTAGCCTATACATAAAATGTATTCATGTGCAAAAAACCCTTCAGTTTTTATTTTTCATCAAAGTACAAAAATAACACTCGAGCCTTGTAATCTTCATAGACCCAACTATAAATGCTAAAAATGCAAAGATTCTGGGATTGTATTAAGTAATATTTTCATTTTTAGGGTGAAAATGATTATGAACTTCCTAGCAGGATGCTGAGGCAGGAGGATCATGAGTTCAAGTCCATCTCAGGCTACATAGTAGGTTCCAGGCCAGCCTGGTTCCAGAGCTACTTAACAAGACCCTGTCTCAAAACAAATTTGTGATCTAAGGTTAAGCAAACATTTTTATAGCATAAAACCAAAATTTTATGCTATAAAATTTACAATAAATGTAAATCGAACAATTATGAATAAAAGTGCTAAAAATATAAATATCCATGTTCAAGTTTTTGTGGGAAAATGTTTTCAACTTCTTTGTGTAAATATGAAGAAGCAAAACTTCTGTATCATGAGAAGAGTATATTTAGTTTTATGTGAAACTGCCAAATGGTCTTACAAGTGGCCATTTTGCATCTCACCAGCAATGAGTGAGATTTCTTGCTGCTCCATATTGGCAGCATTTGCTTCATTATTTAATAATACAGATTCAAATGTAGAAAACAAGATGTGGATGCTACAACTGCTTCAAAATATAAGTGCTTATCATCTCCATTTGATCTTATCCATATAAGGGGAAATTTTATTATGAAAGAGTAAAATCTTAGTCCATTTAAAAACACTTTCCCAAGGAATGGTCATACTGGACATATGTAGATTATATTTTTATGTCAAATTGAGTAAACATACACATCTTTTTTATAGCTGTTTCTGATGCAAAATTACAACCATGTGGCCCTGAAGAGACAGAAATTGGAGGTGTCTGTGTTGGTAATTATAACATTTTGCTTTTTAAAAATGTATTTATAAACTAGTGATTTCAACAGACATTTATGTTCTGTGGCTTCAAATGTTGAATTATGCTAATATTTTGTGGTCTGGTAGACATCAAAAACAAAAGTAACTTTATCAGTCTTTGCCAGGCATGGTGGTTCATGCCCTTAATCACAGCACTCTGGAGGCTGAGGGAGGAAGATAGAGAGTTTGAAGCCAGCCTGAGATATATAGTGAGATCCGGTCTCCAAGAAACAAAACAAAAAATGGACCTTTTCATGGGGCCTATAGTCAAACATGATCTTCTAAAATGAATGAGGTGGAGGTGTATAATTAATGTAATTAACAAAGCTGTTTTAAATGGTGTCATAAGCCATTGGTGTGGTAAAATATATTAGGATAGATCATCTAATGTTTAGATACCATGTGTAAAAATTAACATGCCTTTTATTTTAAAAATACTATTATAATAATCCTCAAAATAAATCACTGAGTTGCTTTTCTATGCAATATTCCAACTGCAAATGTATTTTCTAACCCCATTTTCTAGCATTATTTAAATAAATCATTACTATATCTGAAAGTCTCAGTTTAATTAGACTCTGTGATTTAAGCTTCTGTTTGGTTTTTTGGTGGTATGGAAGTTTGAATTCAGGGCTTCCCATTTGCTAGACAAGCACTCTACCATTGAGCCATACCCCCAGATCTTTTTTGCTTTTAGGTCATTTTTCAGAAAGGATCTTGTGTTTTTGCCCTGGAAGGCCCGGTCCACAGTCCTCCAATTCTTGCCTCTCACATAGGTGGGATGACAGGTATATGCCACCACACCCAGTTCATTGGTTGAGATGGGATCTTGTCAACTTTCTGCCTGGACTGGCCTCACGTTAAGATTCTCCTGTTCTCAGCTTCTGGAGTAGCTAGGATTGCAGGCTTGAGCCACTGCCACCAGTTTCCCTTAAGGTTTTAAAAGAATAAAACAGTATGTCTTAACACTAATAATAAACAACATAAAATATAATTATTTAGCTATTCAGCACAGTAGGTGTGTGGATTTTCTTCATAATGTGCTTGTGCTGTGCTAAAGTCACTTTTCTTCCTTGAATAAACAGTGAACTTCAGCAACATGTGGTATTCAAAATGTCTGTGCATCAAATTGGAATTCTATACAAGATTGTATACAATTTGGGAAGTAACACCCAACTGAAAATATTGACTATGAATATGCTCACTTGACTTATTTTTAAATGTTGAGCAAAATGTTTGTAGCCAACTATGTTGGTGTATGCCTGTAATCCTAGCACACAGGAGTCTGAAGCAGGATGGTGAGTTCAAGGCCAGCCTGTTCTGCAAAAAACCCAATTTTTTGTTTGTAATTAGATTAATTTGAAAACAATTAGTCTGTCATTGGGACTTTAGGATACAATTCCTGACAAAAATGACACTTTTAAATATCTGAAAGTATATGTTCTTTACAGAAACGACCTTAAGAAGTCTCAGGACTTTCCAAAATCTACATAACACAGAGCAGAAAGTTTAGTTTTGTGATGTATGCAGTAGAAAAAATATTTGTACATTTTAGAGTATTTTTAAAACAGTTTTAAAATTAATCACTCAGTTTCTTTTTTCTAGAACAATAAAAAAACTTTCAGATCATCAAATTAATTTTTTTATAGTACTCGGAATTTAAAAATTGTAAACTTTTCACATGGGTTCTTAAATAAAACTTCATATATCTTCAAAATTAGAAAATGAAAAAAAATGAGGCATAGGTTGCTCACACATAAAATCCTGGTATCTTGGAGGGTGAGATCAGGAGGATTGTGATTCAAGGCAAGCCTGGGCAAATAGGTGGTGAGAACACATCTCCAAAATAACCAGAGCAAAATGGACTGGATGTGTGGCTCAAGTGGTAGAATGCCTACTTTGCTAGCATGGTACCCTGAGTTCAAATCCCAGTTCAACCAAAAAAATAAAAAAAGAAACAATTACTATTTAACAGCTCATATAGATCACTGATGGTATAATCTCCCCCATAAAGAGCAGCTCTTTCATCTGAAAGTAATGTTGTTATATGAGTAAATTACAAGAGTAAAATGGAAAACATTTGATTTTACATTATAGTTGATTTTTTATTAGAACAAGGAATTATAATGTATAAGTTATGAATTTTGTTCTGCCTGAAAGAATGTAAATTACTTTTATTTTCAAGACCAGACTTTTCAAAGGCAGACACATTTAACATGCATTAAATGTAAGTTTGATGAGCTAAATTACTCCATTATCAATCAATATTCATGTGATTGTAGGTCAAGCATGAAATTGTTAATTTGGCCGATAAAAAATAATTGTTTTTCTGATTTACTTCATTGTTTTCTTAAGATAAATGTCAGAGTTGTAGTATTTGTGTGCTTTTACTATAAGTCATTCTCCATTCTTCCAGGTACTCAATTTACCCATGATGCCTTTCCTCCTACCAGGTCAGCTGCTGGCCTTATTGCCACCTCCACCTCCAGGAAGGCCAGAGGTTGTGGTGGAGTTGATTGAGTCCAGGATTTTCTGTAGGTGTGCTTTTGATGTTTCCCCTACAAACAACTCAGTGGGATTTCTCATAGCTTGGTCTAGGCTTTCTTCTCAAGAAATCAAAGAGGAGCTGAAACAAGAGACCACAGTTCAGGCATTCTCTCTTTTAGAACTCGATGGCATAAATCTCAGACTTGGAGATAGGGTATGTTTGGAAAAAATTGGATTTTCTTTTCTTTCCTTGAATGTATTGGTTTTCAAAAATGAAATTCTTTTAAAATTATATCCTAAATTTTTAATTTAATTAAATGTTAGATTTTTTTTCCCCTAAAATATAAGGAATTAATACTTTTTGGTTTTTCCCTCCTAGGCAACTGTGTCAGTAATATAATTTCAGTAGCTACATATGAGTGTCTCCTTTTAGCAATTTGTTGAGAGTTATTGGTAAATCATAACTATAAGTCTCTTTCAAGCATTAAAATGATATCCTTGTATTTTGGAAAACAGTTTTAAGTTTTTCAATGATGATATAATTTTTTATTTATTTTCAAACATGTCACAAATAAAAAGCCTACTACACTTTAAGCTGAGGTTTGATTAAATAATATTTTATAATGATGGAGTTTTGCTCAAATTTCAGACAAGTATTTAAATCTTTTATCTCTGTGTACTACCTACCAAGATTTGAATAAAGAATTTATTAAAGACAAGAATTCACACATATTTTTCTCCATAATTGTATTGCTAACTGATTATGTGTAACTGTATTGATAGATATTCTGCAGTGTTTCCATCTTCTTCTTGGAGAAACCAGATGTACAAAGTTTAGCCACTGAAAGCCAAGAATTTTTTGCAGGCATTAAGGTATGTAGCAGTGGAGGTGGATCAGAAAGATAGTTCCTCTGTGACTGTGATCAGCTCTTGGTGGCTCCTGGGCCTTATCACAGACTGTATCAGAAGCTTGGGACCTGCAAGTGTGTAGTTTTGAAGAATAGCCCCAATAATTCTAATGTATAACAAAGTTTGAGGACCTCTGAAAATGGGCTAAAACTGGGATATGTGGGTGCTTCCTGACTTACAATGAGGTTACGTCCAAATAAACTCATCGTAAGCTGAAACAGTGTAAGTCAAAAATGCCCTTGGTGCACCTAACCTGCCTAACACCTCGCTGAGCAGCACAGCACACAGTAGGGTATCTGTTGTTTACCCTTGTGAACATGTGGCTGACAGGGAGCTGCAGCTCCTTGATGCTGCCCAGCATTTGGGAGAGAATCTTAAACCATATTGGTAGCCTGAGAAATCCAAGTCCAAAATTTAAAGATATTTTATGGAATGTGTAAAATTTTTGTACAATGATAACATCAAAAATTCATGAATCTATGTCAGGCGCAGCAGTGGCTCGTGTCTATAATCTTAACTACTGAGAAGGTGTTGTTTGGAAGAATTGTGGTTCAAGACAGCCCAGGCAAAAAGGTAGTGAGACCTCATCTCACTCTGTAAGCTGGGCATGGTGGTACATTTCTGTGGTCCCAAGTACAAAGAAGGGTGTAGGTAGGAAGATTGCAATCTGAGGCAAGCCCAGGAAAAACTTTAGAGCCTACCTAAAATATACCTAAAAGCAGAAATGAGGTCCTGAGTTCAAACCCTGATACCACCAGAGAAACAAGAAAAATCCTAAATTAGATCATCTAAGAAATAGTCCAAATTAGTAAAGCAAGAGCTCTGTTCCCATAATCCATTCTGTGATGTCACTGAGTGCTAACATATCAGTATTTATCTATTGTGCGATTTTGAATAAGGGTACCAGGGCAAGGACTAGAGCTTCTGACTACAGTAGAATTGTCCCAATGCTCAACTTTGTAGATTGCAATGATTGAACTAAAAAAGATCCTATTTTTAGTTATTGCTGGGAGTCCAAGGAGTCCAAGAACTGATGAGCTATTTCAACAGGTCATCAGAAGTGACAGGGAATCAGAGCAGTGGCAGCATTAAGTAGTAATGCTTAATGCATCTGGGAAGTCGCACCCACAGAGAAATAATGCTTAAACAAGCACAATGCACCTGGGAAGTCACAGCCACAGAGACAGAGTTTGACTTGCACTCATTCCTAATTCAAAGATAAAATGGGAAAACTGATAATGTTGTGAGAACAGGACTCAGGACCAGCATAGAACATGTTTTTAGGTAAGCTACATGTATGCACAGTATGGACCAGGATGAGAAGAAAAACGGACTTCATTGTCAAACTAGCATACACCTACAGTGGGCAGGGAAACAGCTCAGGCCTTGGCAACACAGTGCTACACTGGTAAGCACTCACCGAGTAATGTCCAAAGCCAGTGGTCAGCCCCCAGGGAATGTTTCTAATTAGGCTAACAAAGAGTAGGAGTACTAAGAAACATCTGTTTGGAGCGCTAGCCAAGACTTGAAGCTTCATTAAAAACAATCCCTGCCTTCAAAAAGACAGGCCTGTGTCCAAAGTTGCAACAGCAAGTCTTAGTACATCTAACTGTAGAAAAAGCTGAGGTTCAGAAATAAGCTGAGGCTCAAAAATAAACTGAGGGTTAAGATATTTCTGATGACAGTAATAATTCAAGTTAGTTATTAACACATACCTAAATTTCTAGTTAAGATGGCAAATTTAAATCCCAGAAAATAACCGGACTCTTCCATTGGTATATCAGAAAACATTAGCAAATGAGTAGAAGAAAATAGGAAACCGTTTTCCCTCCAGTTCCAGTGCCCTCCACAGTACCAGAATCACTGAGGCAGGCTTGGTCACAACTTGCCTGCATGTGTCGCAGAAGCAAATCGAGCCTAAACTCAGTGGTGTTGCCACGCTAGGTACTCTACTGAATGCTGCTCATATTTTTATTGACTTGGTTTTAACACTGATCTCGTGTAGTTAAAAATTCCAATGTGCAAGTTATTACCAGTTCAGTTAGCCGAATATGAGCTGTAGAGAAAATATACTTTCAAGTTTATATATTAGAAATAGATCCCACTTTAACATAATTGCTCTCTGTATTTTCTTATACCAGTTGCAGCCTGAATTGAGCACTATATCAGAAGATGGGAGAGAGTACCAGCTGAGGATAGTGAGCACAATACCTATCGTTTGTTCTGAATTTAGCAAGCATGATCAAGAATGTAAAATCTCATTAAAATTGACAACTGTTGATCAAGGTAATATACTAAATTCATTTAATTTTATTATTAGATTTCCTACGGTAACTGATGCTTTTTCTTCTTTAGAAAAAGTTCCTGGAGTGTACTCATATAACCAATTTTGCATTATAACTTAACCATATAAAAATGTGGGATCAAATTGATGATTTATAAAGCAATTCATATTTATTCTTCCTGGGTTCAAAATGTACATTTAAACACTAGTGAACAATCTCCTCATTGTTGTCATCTTTCTCTTCCTTCTGCTTATCTTCCTCCACTTATTTCTTATCCCCCTTCTCTTCATTCTCCTACTTATTCTTCTCTTTGCTTTGTTTTCAGAGACTGAGGGACAGAGTTTGTTTCCAAATCATCCACAATGAGGGAGGTGTGATAAGTTATGCTAAAAGCTCAAGCTTATGAAACATGGATCTCATAATGCATTCTTCATACTTCTTGCTCTAATGTAAGCTGCAAATTACTAATTTTATAGATGCCATGATGCATGGCCACATACACATCACTGTCAAGCCAAATAGAGCAGAAATCCTCCCATAGAATGAGACAGAAAATGAGAGGAAAAACCAAGTATGGCAGTGGTTGGTTGGCTGAGTTCTTTTCCTACTTAAGCCTCTGATCAAAGCAGGTAAGAGATTTTTAGATTAAAATAGAACCTATAGCCCTCAATGCAGAGAAACTAAAGCAGATACTTTAAAGCAACTGAGGCCAATAAGAGAAGGGGACCAGGAACTAGAGAAAAGGTTAGATCAAAAAGAATTAACCTAGAAGGTAACACACATGCACAGGAAATCAATGCGAGTCAACTCCCTGTATAGCTATCCTTATCTCAACTAGCAAAAACCCTTGT